TAAGTATATATTTTTTTTTTTATTAATAATTTTTTTTAAAGTTATGTCCCCCCCCCTCCCTTCTTACCTTTAGCCTGGGAGGGGGAGGGAGCCGTTCTGCCTGGGAGGGGGAGCCTTGAGGGGACCATGCTGCATTCCCTGGTGGTCCAGTGGTGAGAGTGAACTCTAACCTGCAGGTTAGAGTTCACTCTCGCGAGATCTGAGCGTTGCCGCGGCAACGCTCAGAATCCCGCGAGAGGACCCAGCGGAGCTGCTTGTTAGAGCACCGCCGGGTCCTCCTCCCTCCCTCACCCAGCCGGCGGCCGCATCTCCCTGTCTGTGGGCCGGTGAGGGAGATCTTTGATCTCCCTCACCGGCCCATGGATTCACATAGCAGGGCCGGCGCTCGGATAGCACTGGCCCTGCAGGGGCCGGCCGGGGAGATCCCCTGCCGGCCTCGGCCCCACGGCCATCGCGGCCCACCGGGCATTTGCCCGGTATGCCCGATGGCCAGTCCGGGCCTGTATCACACTATATTTAAAAAAACATACATAATCTAATATATCCCAGTATAATAATTACCATACAGTATGTAATATATCAGAATATATTAATTAATAATCTAGTATGTAATATATCAGAATATAATAACTACCATACAGTATGTGATAGATCACATTATAATAATATTTCACATAGTATGGAATATATCACAATGCAGTGAATATACATACAATACATATATGAATTAGAACCATGTAATGAATAACCATACAGTTTGTATTACATAATATATTGAATAAACAAGTATGTAATATTCACAATATAATAATATTCGTATAGTATGTAATATCACAGTATAATGATTAACCATACAGTATGTAATATATCACAATATATTGAATAACCATACAATATGTAATATATCATGCAGCATGTAATATCACAGTATAATAAATAACCATACATTATTAAATATACAATATATTGAATATCCATACATTATGTAATATTTCACGACATATTGAATAACCATACAGTATGTAATATATCACAGTATATTGATTAACCATACAGTATGTAATATATCACAATACATTGATTAAGCATACAGAATGTAATATATCACAACATATTAAATAACCATACAGTATGTAATATATAACAATACATTGATTAACCATACAGTATGTAATATTTCACAACATATTGATTAACCATACAGTATGTAATATATTACAACATATTGATTAAGCATACAGTAAGTAATATATCATAAATTGAATAACAAGAAAGTATGTAATATATCACAATATATTGATTGATAACCATACAATATGAAATAAATCACAATATAACAATATCCATATAGTGTGTAATATATCACGATATAGTGAATACCCCTACAGTATGTAATATATCAGAATATAATAACTACCATACAGTATATGATATATCACATTATAATAATATTTCACATAGTATGAAATATATCACAATGCAGTGATTATACATACAATACATACTATATGAATGATAACCATGTAATGAATCACCGTACAGTTTGTATTACATAATATATTGAATAACCAACAAGTATGTAATATTCACTATTTAATAATATTCATACAGTATGTAATATCACAGTGTAATGATTAACCATACAGTATGTAATATATCACAACATATTGAATAACCATACAGTGTGTAATATATCACAGTATATTGATTAACCATACAGTTTGTAATTTATCACAATACATTGATTAACTATACAGTATGTACTATATCACAAATTGAATATCAAGAATGTATGTAATATATGACAATATATTGAATGATAACCACATAATGAATAACCATACAATATGAAATATCACAATATAACAATATCCATATAGTGTGTAATATATCACAATATATTGAGTAACCCTGCTGTATGTAATATAACACAGTATAATGAATAAGCCTACAGTATATAATATATCACAACATATTGATTAACCATACAGTATGTAATATATCACAACATATTGATTAACCATACAGTATGTAATATATCATACTATGATATGCTTACAGTATGTAATATATCACAGTATAATGATTAACCATTCATTCTTTAATATACAATATATTGAATATCCATACAATATGTAATATATCACAACATATTGAATAACCATACAGTATGTAATATATCAAAGTATATTGATTAACCATACAGTATGTAATTTATCACAATACATCGATTAACTATACAGTATGTACTATATCACAAATCGAATATCAAGAAAGTATGTAATATATCACAATATATTGAATGATAACCACATAATAAACATACAATATAAAAAAATCACAATATAATAATATCCATATAGTGTGTAATAAATAACAGTATAATAATATCCATATAGTGTGTAATATATCACAATATATTGAAAACGCTTACAGTGTGTAATATATCACAGTATAATGATTACCATACAGTATGTACTATATCACAATATATTGATTAACCATACATTTAATATACAATATATTGAATATCCATACAGTATGTAATATATCACAATACATTGATTAACCATACAGTATGTACTATATCACAATACATTGATTGATAACCATATAATAAATAAACATACAATATAAAAAAACACAATATAATAATATCCATATAGTGTGTAATAAATCACAGTATAATAATATCCATATAGTGTGTAATATATCACAATATATTGAAAACCCTTACAGTATGTAATATATCACAGTTTAATAATTACCATACAGTATGTACTATATCACAATATATTGATTAACCATATATGATTTAATATACAATATATTGAATATCCATATAGTGTGTAATGTATCACAATAGAATAATAACCACACATTATGTAATATATCACAATGCAGTAAATATCTACACAGTTTTGATCTATCCATACTGATTATGGGCATGCAGTATGTAATATTTCACTGTGTAGTTAACTAGTATATGTATCTCCATTCTGTGTATATAGTATAGGGCCATAGAATGTATGGAATGGAGTGTACACAATGCATAGTAATATGTGTAAACACATGTTTTATGTGAGCAGACTGAATACCTCACAATGTATAAATATAAACATCAACCCATCAAATTGCAAAAAGAATATGAATGCAGTCAATCGTCTAGAAATACTAAATATCACCTAAAGAAATAATATGCATTATCTATAGATATAAATAATCTACAGAAATATATATCGCTTAAGTATATACCATGTATTCACTCATAAATGATATATCAAAAAGTATAAACATAGAAATACAATGTATCATATAATATCAATGTATCGCTTACAGAATGTAAATATACCACCCATAGGATATCAGTTTATCATGTATAGAATATCAGTTAGCTACAAAATGTCAGTGTACCCCTATAGAATATCAGTCACAGAATGTCAGTGACTCTGTTATAGCATGTTAAGGTACCCCCATAGAATGTCAGTGTATCCCCCATAGAATAGCAATGTGTCCCTCATAAAATGTCAGTGTATCCCCCATAGAATGGCAGTGTATCCCCCATAGAATGTCAATGTATCAGTCACAGAATGTCAGTGTATCCCCCATAGAATGTCAATGTATCAGTCACAGAATGTCAGTGTATCCCCCATAAAATGTCAATGTATCAGTCACAGAATGTCAGTGTATCAGTCACAGAATGTCAGTGTATCCCCCATAGAATGGCAGTGTATCCCCCATAAAATGTCAATGTATCAGTCACAGAATGTCAGTGTATCCCCCATAAAATGTCAATGTATCAGTCACAGAATGTCAGTGTATCCCCCATAGAATGGCAGTGTATCCCCCATAGAATGTCAATGTATCAGTCACAGAATGTCAATGTATCAGTTACAGAATGTCAGTGTATCCCCCATAGAATGTCAGTGCACCCCCCATAGAATGTCAATGTATCAGTCACAGAATGTCAGTGCACCCCCCATAAAATGGCAGTGTATCCCCCATAGAATGGCAGTGCACCCCCCCTAGAATGTCAATGTATCAGTCACAGAATGTCAATGTATCAGTCACAGAATGTCAGTGCACCCCCCATAGAATGTCAGTGCACCCCCCATAGAATGGCAGTGTATCCCCCATAGAATGGCAGTGCACCCCCCCTAGAATGTCAATGTATCAGTCACAGAATGTCAATGTATCAGTCACAGAATGTCAGTGCACCCCCCATAGAATGTCAGTGCACCCCCATAGAATGGCAGTGTATCCCCCATAGAATGGCAGTGCACCCCCCCCTAGAATGTCAATGTATCAGTCACAGAATGTCAATGTATCAGTCACAGAATGTCAGTGCACCCCCATAGAATGTCAGTGCACCCCCATAGAATGGCAGTGTATCCCCATAGAATGGCAGTGCACCCCCCCTAGAATGTCAATGTATCAGTCACAGAATGTCAATGTATCAGTCACAGAATGTCAGTGCACCCCCCATAGAATGTCAGTGCACCCCCCATAGAATGGCAGTGTATCCCCCATAGAATGGCAGTGCACCCCCCCTAGAATGTCAATGTATCAGTCACAGAATGTCAATGTATCAGTCACAGAATGTCAGTGCACCCCCCATAGAATGTCAGTGCACCCCCCATAGAATGGCAGTGTATCCCCCATAGAATGGCAGTGCACCCCCCCTAGAATGTCAATGTATCAGTCACAGAATGTCAATGTATCAGTCATAGAATGTCAGTGCACCCCCCATAGAATGTCAGTGCACCCTCCATAGAATGGCAGTGTATCCCCCATAGAATGGCAGTGCACCCCCCCCTAGAATGTCAATGTATCAGTCACAGAATGTCAATGTATCAGTCACAGAATGTCAATGTATCAATCCCTCATCAGCCCATCCTGATGCATTAAGGCCACTTACCTGCACTGTGGGATCCTATGCAGCCCATGGTGAGGGGGTGCGGAAGGGTGGGGGGCTACAGGCAGCCAGAGATGGGGATGGGGGGGGCAATGCGGGGGGGGGGGGGGGCAGAGGTAAGGATAGAGAGGGGGAGAGAAGGAAAAGAGAGGGGGGAGGAGAGAGGGGGAGACACAGGGAGCAGGGGCCCCTTCACTGGGGGCTCCGAGCTGGGAGCCGGACGATCATGCTGGGGATGTCTCCGGACGTGACGAGAAGACGCAGCCCTCTCTTTTTTTTGTTTCTCCCTCCCTCCCTCTCTCTCTCCCTCCCTCCTACTGTCTCCTGATCTCAATGCCTTTCAGATTCTCTCTGCCTCTCGGTCCCCCCAACACTGGGTCCCGTTCAGTCCCCCCAACACTGGGTCCCGTTCAGTCCCCCCAACA